TGTTGCACTCATGCTCTGGTTCAGCCTCTCATTGCTCAAACTTAACAATAATGCTTGAATAAATCCCTGCGCAGTGACAAAACAGGAAGGTAGAAAGAAGTTCAGTTCCATTTTACAGTATAAGATTGAAGATATCAAATCAACATCATTCCGTTTTCCCCATAGCCCTCATAGATTGTAAGCAGAAGAAAAAAGGGACCCATCACTCATTGTCACTCTCTGTTCTCTCTTTAGATCCAAGTTAGAAATCCAGATCAGATCCTGATATTGAACTAGAACAACCGATAACATTTAATACCAGGTTCATCTCTGATGGCAGCACAGAGTAAAGCCAAGCAATTAAACTGATTGAATATTCTGAATTTGGGAGGTGGCTTACTTTTTTTTATCCCTTTTTTCAGCAAAGGGCTGTGATTATATCCGTATAGAAAATGGAAGAATGACTGAATATTTGGAATGGTACAAACCATTTCCAAAATGGGAGGGACAAACAATTGACTTTCGTTGTGATCATGGTTTTGTGCCTGCGAACCAGCAAACAGGGCAAACATGGCAAAGGGCTGCATGCATCAATTCCCGCTATGTCCCAGAACCAAAGTGTTTGAGTAAGTAACTGTTTCCCTTTGCAGTAGATACTGCCAAATATAAACAAAACAGGCCAGGGAGATGCTATCCTGACCTTGCTTTAACCTTGAAGAAGTAGCATCCTACAGAGATTTCAATCTGTTCTTGGGTTGTTCTGCCTCCTAGGGTGATGCTTCCACTGATGTCTCTTCTCAAGGGACTCTAAAGGTTGTTTTGGAGTTTGCAAAAGAAAGTGTACTAAAACCTTAAATGATAGAGGTAAAAGGCTGAGTCTTTGATAAAATATAAACAGAAAAATAGGGTTCTTCCTCATCAGCTTCCTCCTCTCTTCACATCTTGTCTTTTCTGGGAACTAGATATCATGCATAGTATGAATTGCCTTCCAAGAACCATCAGTGATGGAACTAAGTTGGTCTTTTTTGCTTTTAGAAATATGTGATCCTTCTATACATTTTGATCATGGTCGCTTCATTCACCATGACTACATATTAGAAGGTAACAACATTACATTTGTTTGTGATTCGGGATATTCTCCTGCAAACCAACAATCAACAATTACTTGCACCCAAAAGGGGTGGTCACCTGCTCCAAGATGTATCCTGACAGGTAAGTTTTAGGAATGTCAGCTAAAATTGCCTGACCTGAAATTGCTTTCGCGTGTGTGTGTGTATGTGTGTGTTGTGTGTGTTGTGTGTTGTGTGTGTATGTATGTATGTATATGTACACTCACACACACATTTTGAAGTGGCATTTCACAATGGATTTATAAATGAGAATTTGTGATAATTTAGCAGCAGGGACGACAAGGAATTCATATTTTCACAGGGAATTGTGCTGTGACTGGGAGGTAAAGGTATGTGTAGGTGTTTATGTACACACATATAGTTGTGCCTGTGTGCCTATCATTTACCTATTAAACTTAATGTCTTACACTACTTAGGTCTATTGAATATTTGCAATAAAAAGGTAAATTTTGATTTGAAGAAAAATATTTCAGATGAAGTTTGTTAACAATTAAAAATTGTTTTCATTATATTTATTATTTTTAAAAAGAGGGTGATGTGTTTTGATGTGCAAAGGGGATTTAGGGTTGTCTCCAATGAAGATCTGAGGCCAAGCATCAATGGTATTGGACAGTATAAAAATAAATGAATAAATGGCAATGATTAAGGAACAGTAAAATAAAGAAAAGGGTAGTAAACATCAAAATTACATGATTATACCTTTTAATGTATATTTTGCAACTAAAACTGTGCTGTCCAGCCAGTGTATGGGAATTGGATAGTTAGGTAGCAATTGTGAGCTGTTCCCTTAAGGGAATGCATCATGGTAAATCTAGTTAAGGTATCCTGGGAAATGTAGTCCATGTCATGCAACCACATCTGTAATCCTAATTGGTCACTAAATTGACTCTCGATGGGTTGGGGAGTTTTCCTTACTCTTGGCTGAACTCATGGACTCATGGTAACTGTTCTATCATTACAAGATGGGAGAAAATGGATAGGAAATAAACCATATTTTTACCTACAAGACAGATATGCAAAGGATTGGTCATTAAAGAAGAACTTTGACACAAATGTGAGTTATGAGGATACCTGATGAACTAATAAAAGTACTTTGTTATGGATGTTTTGTGGCGTTTATCTATCTGCATCTGTACAGGATACAGAATAGTAAAAAGATGGTTATTTGAAGTCCTGAAGCCCATCATTATAAAGACAGTTAATTTGGATTTATGATAAAGCAAAGTAATGTTGAAGCCAGGAGTGAATGTGGAATGCTAAGCTCTGTGCCTCAGTTTGAATTGCAGGGAGGACCAAGAATCCACCCCTTCCCCTTTTACACAATCCCTTTTTGCAATTTTTGTGGACAATTTAATCAATTTAATTCAAGGTTCCACGATTAACTGCAACCTAACATGGGTGTAGTCTTCCATGCATATTTCTGCATTTAGTCATCCAGTCTTCTGACTTTGCTATGCAACCTCTACTGCCACCTTGTGTCACCCAGTGACACTAACAGGCATATTTCTGCATTTAGCTTCCAAGTCTTCAGACTTTGCTATGCATATTTCTGTGTTTAGCCCTCCAAGTCTTCAGACTTTCCTATGCAACCTCTAGTGCCCCCTTGTGTAGCAAGCACACATCACACCCTAGAAACTGCCATACTGTGTACTGTGCTAGCATCGCCCAGACTCTGCAGCGCCACCTATGTGCTCAAATATTAAATCCAGCAGCAATTCTACTTTCTGCTACCTGCTTGCAGCGTATCCTAGTACAAAAAAAAAGGAATTACACAGAAAATTACTAAATTTTCCAAAAGTCACCTTTTACCAATTTGAAACATGGCAACTGCTTCAGCCATGACGGATGTCCCTGAACTACTGGAGGACTCGAACCCTCCGCCTACCTTTGCTGTAAACATGGAGCCTGGTTCCTGAAACCCAGTTTCAGATGTCCAAATCTCTACGGAAGCGGCGATACCTCCGAAAGCCTATGACCTCAGAAAGAGTAAGAAGCTTACCGAACCCATGGACGAACACTTGAGGAATGATTGGGAGAAGCAATATCACCACTACACAGACTCCTGGGCAGAGCTTGAGAAGATCTGTGATGCCCCAAAACACAAGCTACCCCCCGAGAAACTCTGCACATTGCTAGTTGATCTAGATGCCCTTCTTGCATGGTGACCCCAAACTCCTACAACACATCCAATGCTTTGAGGAGTTCACAAGGAATGTGAAGACTGTCGAGGCAAGCAAGACAGCCCTCCGGGCAGTGCTCCACAACGTGCTTTGGCAGGAAATAGCATCAAGGGAGCAGGCCACATACTTGCCTAAGTTTTCGCTGAACACTTCTCAGAAATCGTGGATGAGGGCTGCCTCCCAGTCATTGTCTTCAGTATGATGGATGCCAGCCATTCCGATTCCTAATGGCGTGAACCACTGAAGGCCCAATAGACTTGGCCGGTCTCTGTCTACGATGGTGAGTGGTAGAATTGCATTATGTCCCTTGAAAGAGATCTGGACATGGCGGGTACCTGTGACTGGAATCCAGTTGCCTTGATAATCTTTCAGTATGAGTCTCTGACTGCTGAGGTCTTTGCGTCGGATGTTGGAAATCAGTTGCTTGAGCGTTTTCCAGGATACGATGGATAGTGAGGACCCAGAGTCGGCTTCCATGATGCAAGGTTTATTTTCAATGTTGACCTTTACATGGATTTTTTAAGCGTCAAGCGATGAAGCGTGGCCAATGGTGATGGTTTGATGAGCCTCTTCTCATCTGGGTGTGCCGTTAAACCTTCGGGGTCTGCTGTACTGGTTCCACTGGTTGCTAGAGCAGTCCCTCTGTGTGGTGGAGTTGCCATCATTCCTTTTTGGGCTGCTCCCTCTCCATCTGGGGCTGGAATTTCTTTTGTTTCTGCATACTTTTGCAATATGCCCTCGTTTTTCACAAAAACGACACACGGCGTCTAAGAATCTGCATTCGGATCGAGGATGGTTTCCCCTGCATCCGGTGCATTGGTAGTTGGGTTTACGACCCCACTGGTCTCGTTGCTCACATTCTGACCGGAGTCTGTGGACTTCTTCCTCCTCGCTGTCTGAGGATGACTCGACATCTTCATGATGGGTGGTCGATGTGTACTTGTCTGAAGGTTTCCCAGCATCATTGGTGGGTAGGCGGTTGGTTCCGCTGGTTTGGTGCATTTGTGCTGCTGATTTACGAGCGCCTTCAGCTGCGGTGGCGTCTGCTATGGAATCTGCAAGCGAGATGTCTCCCTTGGCCATGATCTTGCTCTGGACAGTTGGATCTCTAAGGCCAAGGACGATTCGGTCTCTTATGGCTTCTTCGAGGTTGGCGAAGCCACATAAACCGCCCAGGTTCCTCAGGTCTGCCACGAAATCCCCAACACTCTCACCTTCACGCTGGTCCCTCTGATAGAACTCGTGTCTGAGAATGAGAGTTGGTACTGCTGGGGCGTAATGGTTGCGCAGGATGGGAGCAGGGGTGTCCCAATCCATAGTTTTAACTTCAGCTGGTTTTGCTAAGGCTTTAGCCATCTTAAAAACAGCTGGTCCACAATGGGTTAGAAAAACGGCTCGTTTCTTGCTGGGCGTGGCATCTTTGAAGTTGTTGGACTCTAGGAACATTTGAAATCTGTCCATATATGAGTCCCAGTCCTCGCTAGCTGGATCGAATGGGGCGGGTGGTATAGCACTGCTGGCCATGTTGCCGTTGTTGCGCTCTGTCGGCCACGTGTTCCTTCAGCTAGCTCAGTTCTAGTAGACTTTGTTGCCTCCGCATCCCATCCTCGTCGCCAGTGTTAGATCTGGGAGGATGGTTCAGAAATGGGGGCAAGACTCAGATAACAACAACAGCTCTTTATTAGTGACTTCAGATCTGAGCAAACTATCCCGGCTGCAGCAGCCCTTTATATAGGGCTGGCTGCGGCTAGGCAGCCAATGAAAGCGATTTGAGTTTGCCGTTCTTGGCAGGGCCAATCGCAGCAGCCCGTTTACTAGCCAATCACATCAGTCTGCGGTGACCAATCACGATCTGCTATTCGCGGGCCAATCAGAGTTGCAGACTTTTGAGCCTGCTAGTCCGGAACACCTTCCAACTCTGATTATCTGTTCTTCAGTTGTTCCGCCTGCTAGGGTGATGCTTCCACTGATGTCTCTTCTCAAGGGACTCTAAAGGTTGTTTTGAAGTCTTAATGAGAGAGGTAAAAGCTGAGTCTTTTATAAAATATCAACAGAAAAATAGGGTTCTTCCTCATCAGCTTCCAAACACACATTGACACACATATTCTGAAAGGCATCCCCAGAACAGACTCAGATCAGGTTACTAAAATATGGAATGCATATAGCTTATAAGGCAGTATGCTTTCTTTTATATAATTAAGGGAAAAAGGGAAGATATGCAATGTTTCTAAAAGAAAGGAAACCCTGAATCTCCCCAGAAATTTCCCCCCTCCAACTGCCTATGGATTTTTTGAAGTCTTGTATTTCATATAGAGCTTCTCTTAGCTCTTTCTCAGCCCATGTATTCATGGCTTTGAAAAGAGGCAATCATCCTCTGGCACCACAGTTGGAGATGGCATGTGGGTGATCCCTCTGGTGCCATGAGGTGTGTGTTTTCTCTGTGTGTATGTTTAAGGCTGAAAGGAGGAGATGACTTGGCTGAGCTTTTCCCGCTTCCCTTTGCAGTCAAAGCTGCTCAGAAGGCAGCTAGCCATGGGAGGAAGAGAAAGGCAAGTGGGGAATGATGGATCATGGCCAGCTGGGAAAGCCAAACCGCTGCTCAGCCCAGAGCTGCTAGTGGAAGTGGGCTATAGCATGTGCCTGGCTTGAAGTTCCCAGCTCTTTCTTTGTAAATCTGGCTTACAAGGTGGCAGTGGCAGCTGGGGCTGGGATCCTGCATGGGGGGTGCAGCTAGGCCTGGATGGAGTGGGCTGTACTCATCTGGGTGGCTCCAAAGTTAAATGCAGAAAGCAGTGGGAGGTGGCAGAAAGTCCTCACTGAGAAGAAACATTGGGACTTGCAAAACTGCAGTTCTTTTCCCATCACTCAGGCTTGGATTTCAGTGCAAGGAGGGCTCCCTGGCCAACAGCCACTCCCACTGCAGTTCCTGGTCAGCATGGTACTTCAACTGCTTCCCTATGCCAGAAGAGTGTGAGGCCAGGCATGTGAATGAGGCGGCCATCCAGGAGGGCCTCACTTTCCATGGGATCATGCAGGTCTCCCAGGCAGGTAGGAGATGGAGAGAGGGGCTGCCTGGCCTCCTGCTCTTCTTACCCTGCCAGGGGAGGCAGAGGGCCTCCAGGTTTCCCTGTTTTGTGGTTAACTGGCAGCAGGTGTGGACAGCTGAGGAGATTGAGGACTCAGATGAGGGGCCAGGATTGTTAGAGAGTGGACTGCTGCCTTCAGAGATTGTGGGGGCTGGCAGCAGTGATGAGAAGGTTCCCGAGGAGCCTATGCCAAGTGCACATGCTCACAGGATTGCTTGAAGGAAAGAACAGTTACAAAGGCACGGGCGACTCAGGAATAAGGCTGCAAGGTAATGACCTCCTCCTTCAAGAAGATAAAAGCCAGCTGTGAAACTAACCTTCTTTGCAAGGCAAAGAAGTTTTGAACTCAGCCTCATGGACATTACAGTTGGTATTTGAAGATCTTGTAAACTATTTCATATCTGTTTTTTTTTTTTTTTTGTCACAAGGCAAAGGCAGCAGTATAACTTTTTTATGTTTCAGCTAAGAATCCTGTTTCTTCACAGATAAAAGGCTGCTTCCAACTAATTAGCTCCGACAAGAAAGAGCCTTGCCAAGTTTTTAAAAGTCTGCCAAAAAACAACAGATAAGAAATAATTTACAAGAGTCTTCAAATACCAACTGTAATGTCCACGAGGCTGAGTTCAAAATGTCTTTGCCTTCTGCAAAGTATGTTAGTTCACAGCTGGCTTTTATCTTCTTGAAGGAGTGGCCATTACTTTGCAGCTTTAGTCCCGAGTCACCCGTGCTGTTATAGCTGCTCTTTTCTCCAAGCAATCCTGAGTGTACGCGCACTTGGCACAGGCTCCTTGGGAACCTCCTCATCACTGCTGCCAGCCGCACAATCTCTGAAGCCAGCAGTCCACTCCCTAATGGTTCTGGCCCCTCATCTGAGTCCTCGATCTCCTCAGCCATCCATACCTGCTGCCCGTTAACCACAACACTTATCAGTTCCAAGATCTCTACATAATGGAAGGATCTGCAAGTGTGACTTGTCAAAATGGCCATTGGTCACAAACACCAACATGTAGAGGTATAATCCATGTGTATTCTTTATAGATTTGTCCTTTATAAACAAAAATTGTACTTTAGGAAAGAAATCAATTTTATGATACCAGAGCTGCTGTGTCACTATGTTAGTGTCAGAAAGTATTTTACTGCCCTGTAATGGAATTAGAAACTATAGTATTATGAACCAAGATAAAGTAACTCTCTCAGAAAGAAACTGCTTTATAATGAAAAATTATATAAGATCTTCTGCCATTTACAAATGTCCTCATTTTGTGAAATATTCCTGCAATATTCTGCAATCTACATTTTCTTTTTTTTTCTTAGTTGAGAAACATTTTTTCACAGCTGAGAACACAGTGTACTATCATCATCACCACCACCATCATCATCATCATCACTCATTCCCCAAAGAGAAATCATAAAACATCCAGTTTACCAACAACCCACTAGGCTTTCTTTTTTGAATGTTTCTAATACTTGATTTTCTAGGGAGCTAAAATTGATATTTCTTAAATAGGCATTTTAAGTATAGATGGTAAACTTTCTTATCTGTTGACTCAGTCACATCTACTCTGATTATCCCGGGGCTGTCACACATTGGCCTGATGGGCACTTGCATGAGCATAGGGGCCCCATACTAATCTGTGTATGTTAACTCTTCAAATCATCTTGTATCATTTAAATACAGCAACATACTTATTACATTTTACTGCATTTTTTATTAATACTAACATGCAAATATATGCTTAATTTTATCAACCATTTATATTTTTATTCCTGTGAGTAGTTGTTTTAGGGGCCCCAGTACACTGCTTTGCCTGGGGCCCATAATGCTGTTAAGATGGCCCTGGATTAGCCCATGTTGAAGGAGAAGATATAAATTGACATTTTAAGAAGGGTTAGCTGAACTTGTGTAATGCAGATCTTTAGTATGAGAAAATATGGAAGAAAGAGATTAAAATGTTTTCCTTCTGCCTTTTGCAAATACAATAGTGTCTTCCTTAAAAGAAGTTTGTGTATGTTAGGCATTTAGTTCATGACTGATAATAGCTGAGAGACAAAATAAAAAGGGGAGCAAAGAGAGAGGAAAATCCATTTACACAGATCTCTAATAATTTTACCCCATTGCAACATAGAATTTACAACCTAAACATTAATCTGTCATGTTTTAGTGTCCCACGTCAAGAAAATCTAGCTTGGTATGGTAATGTTTATCTGGTAAATGCGAACCTGGCATGAAGTGGCCAACTAAAAAAGGAATCAAAGTCTGTGTTACCATGGTTTACTTCACCACCCCTTATATTGTGCTCCATCCCACCCTGTGGTCCTACCCGCTTCCCCTCCCACCTATTGCTTGCTGTCAATAGGGCTGCTGCGGTCCAGTAATGCCCCAGCCGCCCAACCCAGGCTGGCACATCCAACTCCATGTGCCTGCTCACAATCCAATAGTCAGCTGATCTGCTGTGAATCAGCTGTGTTACAGTCCAGGCCTTCGCTGGCCATCCAAGATCCCTTCCACACCTTTTCTGCTGCTATGCTCACTGCTCTCTTTCAGCTGTCATTAGTAACGGGGGAGGGGGGACTTGAAGGGGAAGAAAGCTGGAGGTGTTACATTCCTGTGCTGTGGGTAAGAAGGAGGAGGGGGAGTATAAATTCTTGTCTTTAAGATTCTATTTCCTTGCCTAGCTTTCTTTCCTTTTGCGCAGCTGCGAAGTTTTATCAAAATATGTCAAGGTCAACGGACAGAGGCCTCATCACCACCTGAAGATGCCCACATGATCAGAACTTTTAATTGGAAGAGTCTTTTGGACTTTGGGGGGTGGGAACAATTCCATCCCTTTTGTATATGTGATCTGAGCACCAAGTTCTTTAGATTCTGTAGCTTCCACTTTGAAATTCAGTAAAAGGAAAATCTCTGCTCTAACCATTGGAGTCTGAGTGTTTCTTTCTTGGATTTTGAACGGAGCACAGAATGACATTGTTCTGAATCTCCCCCATCAGCCCACCCAGAGAAAATATCAACTTTTCTTCCGAAGGGGTTTCACATCATGTCATCTCCAGCTAGTGATGAAGACGGCCAGGCAGCTGTGAGGGGGCAGTCGGTGCTGCTACTGGAGGTGCCAGCCACCGACCTGCTAGCGAACCTTACTCTGGAAGAAGTCCCAGCTGAGAGGCCCAGATGGTCATTGGGTGTTGGATGAAGGGATCCCGACTGCCCCCTTCCTGGGATCACTGTCACCTGAAGACAGGCGAGGGAGCAGCTGTGGCAAGAAAGGGAAGAGATGGAATGCATGTTAGATCAAGCCAGACAACTCCTCAAGGATGCCTTTGAAAAGCCTCGCATAGCTCCAAGGTATGAGGGGGAAGGGGGAGCGAGTTCAGCCAGGGAAGTCGGGCTGCCCCCATCCCCCTAGCCCAGCCTACACCAGCGCAGCAGCTGGCTGCTGCCCCAGGGCCCCCAGCGGGAAGTGTGATCCCTGGAAGACGCACAGCCCTCAATCTGCCTCCATTAGACGTGAAGTTTGGGGGAAATCCCAAGGATTTGGGTTTCTTCCTGGCACAAGTCTGGAGCTATATGGAGGAATATGAGAGGGAATTCACTTCTGAAGCAGTCAAAGTGAGATGTGTTACCAGGGCCCTGGAGGGGATAGCGGCAGACTGGATGGTGACTTTGTATAATGACAACTTCCCCCAACTGTGGAATCTCAATGTCTTCATGACTGCATTGAGGAGAAGGTTTGAGGACCCTCTAGCAGAGAGAAAGGCTAGGATCAGAATGAAAACCATAAATCAAGGGGGGAGATCAGTTGCTGACTACACCCAAGAGTTCAGACAGCTGGCATGCCACATCCGAGGCTGGTCCCAGGGGGCCCTGATAGAAGCCTACAAAGATGGCCTAAATGAAGATATATACCACATGTGCATCTCCAGAAGGGATCCATATGATCTGCAACAGTGATACTTGCTAGTGGAAGAAGTGGAAATAGATCTGACCCGAAGCAGATGCAGATGAGGCCCTGTATGGAGCAAACCGCTGTCTCTGAGAGGCCCCAAAACCTCGGAAGGGAGGAGTGATGGTGAGACCCAAATCCACTGCCTGTTTTCGATGCTGGAGGGAGAGCCACCGGATTGCAGATTGCAAGGTCTAGCTGGACCCAAAGGGAACGCAGAGGGCAGGGAGGAAGCCCGAAACCCCCCCAACTAAGCCTCGCGAAACCAGGTTAAAGACAGGGGAGGTTGTAGAGGTCGCCCCTCCGGCCGGAGAGGAGCTGGGACCTCCGACCTTCCTCGACAAGAGTGAAACTGACTCGGAAGACGATGTCCCGGTAAGTCCTAAAAAGGGACCCATGACCACCCCAATAAAATTAAGGGTGCTCACTTCAGGGACCGAAGGGGAGATGTTGGCCTTATTAGACTCTGGGTGCACGAGGTGCATAATCAGCATGAAAGTAGGTAAGGACATGGGCATCAGACTGACAACTTTAAAAATGCCCATATCCTTTTGCCAACTGGATGGATCAGTGTCGGGAGGTTGCCCTGCACATTTATAACGGAACCCCTAGAGATGACCATGGGAAATCATAGCGAGACCCTGTGCTTTATTGTGGCCCCTGGGATGGAACATCCTTTAATATTGGGACTGCCCTGGCTCCGGAAGTGGAATCCCCATGTGAATTGGAGGAAAGGGTGGATATGGATTTGCATTGATCGGCGGCTGGAAGGGGAGGAGCGATTCCATCCGAAGCTTCAGAACCTGGTTGAGTCAGCTTCTGCAGGTGCCGAGAGCTTGGAGGGGGAGGAGAAAATCCCGAAGGAATATTGGGACTTAAGAGAGGTGTTTAGTGAAAAGGCTTCTGATGAGCTCGCCCCTCATCAGTCAACTGATTGTAGCATTGAATTTCTACCGGGGGTGACGCTCCCGAAACCGAAACTGTATTCGATGACACCCCAGGAATTGGAAGAGTTGAGATCGTTTATCAATAAGAATTTGAAACATGGTTTCATCCAACTCGCTAGACCTCGGGTGGCAGCCCCAGTGTTGTTCCGTGAAAAGAAAGATGGCTCCAAACGCTTGGTGGTCGACTACCGAAACTTAAACACGGTTTCCGTGGAGAACGTGTACCCCCTCCCCCTGATGAAGGACATGTTAGCTCACCTGGCCAAAGGGAAGATTTTCACAAAGTTGGACCTGAGGGAGGCGTATTACTGAATCCGAATTAAAGAAGGAGACGAGTGGAAAACTGTGTTTAATTGCTCGATGGGTTGTTTCCAGTTCAATGTTCTCCCCTTTGGCCTACAGGGGGCTCCAGCCGTTTTCATGCAAATGATCAATCAAGTGCTCCACGAACATTTATACAAGGGGGTCCTGGTTTACCTGAGTGATATCCTTATCTATACAGAGACTAGAGATGAACATGTGAAATTGGTACGCTCGGTGCTACATAAATTGCGAGCTGCCAAATTGTATGCTAAACTGTCCAAATGTGAATTCCATCAAGAGAAAATTGACTATCTGGGATATCGCATTTCGCATGAGGGCATCGAAATGGATCCAGAGAAGGTACGAGCTGTATTGGACTGGGCCCCGCCAAGGACCCATAAGCAGCTTCAAAGCTTCTTAGCGTTTGCCAATTTTTACCAGCAATTCATCCCGTCCTTCGCCAGCATAGCAATGCCCATCACCAATCTCTTAAAGACAAAAGGGGGGACAAAACCAAAGCCCAGCAAACCATTGGAGTGGTTCATGGAATGCCAAGGGGCTTTTGAAAAATTAAAGCAACTGTTTGCTGCAGAACCGGTACTGAAACACCCGGACATTTCATGATCCAAGCCGATGTGAGTGATGTGGCTGTTGGGGCAGTCTTACTTCAACTAAATGAGAAAGGAACCCTACAACCTTGTGCCTACACCTCCCGTAAGTTGACTGAAACTGAGAGGAGATGGGCTGTCTGGGAGAAGGAAGCTTTTGCAGTTTGTTGAGCTCTACTAACTTGGAGGCACTTTTTGGAAGGAGCGAAGCACCCATTTGAGGTATGGACTGACCACAAGAACTTAGAGGCCTTAAAAATCCCTCGAAAGTTATCTCCCAAGCAGGTTAGGTGAGCCCAGTATTTCAACCGATTCAATTTCTCTTTGAAGTACATCCCGGGAGGAAAATTTTTTATGGCAGATGCGTTGTCTAGAATGCCTCAATATAACAGTGTTCGTCAAGAAGTAATAAGGCTGTAATTGGCTGCCCCGGTGGTCACCAGAGCATAAAAGAAGAAGCAAGAAGTGGAGCTGCCCTATGAATTGACAGAGCGATTTAAGGAAGCATTGAAGACAAATGAGTGGTTCCTGGCGAATGCGAATAACTGCACTATTAGAGATGGCTTGGCCTGGATGGGAGCGAAGTTGTATGTACCAGAGACATTGAGAAGCCAAGTGCTACAACAGACCCATGATTCCAAGGCAGCTGGTCACTTTGGTTTCGTGAAGACCTTACACCTGGTTAAGCAGCAGTTCTGGTGGCCCTCATTGAAAAAGGACATTGAGACTTATGTAGCTAGCTGTCCAGTTTGCACCTCAGCCAAGAGGCCTCCTGGTAAGCCACCAGGTCTATTACAGAATGTAGCCAGGCTGACTGCTCCTTGGAAGGAAATCTCCATGGATTTTATAGTAGACTTACCCGAGAGTACTGGGCACATGGTTATCTGGGTGGTAACCGATTTGTTCTCCAAGCAGGCACATTTCATACCTTGCTCCAAGATTCCCTCAGCAAAATCTTTGGCTAAACTTTTCATTGTACACATCTATAGACTGCATGGTATCCCTGAGTGTATAGTTTCGGATTGAGGGGTCCAATTCACCTCAAACTTTTGGAGGGAATTTTTGAAATTAATAGGCTCCACCCAGGGTTTGAGCTCTGCCCACCATCCTCAAACCAATGGGGCCTGTGAGAAAATTAACGCAGTGTTAGAGCAATACCTCAGGTGTTACATAAACTATCAGCAGGACAACTGGGCTGATCTGCTGCCTTTTGCGGAGGTGGCATACAACAATTCTGTCCACAGCAGTACTGGTTTTACACCGTTCAAAGTGGCCACAGGGCAGGATTTTGTGCCCATACCTGAGCTTCCTCGGGAAAGACCCAACATCCAGTCGTTGGATGAATGGTTATCTCAACTTCAACTCAACTCACCGGTGGATCGTAAAGCGTTGGACGATGCGCACCAGTCTCATAAGAAATTTGCTGACAGAAAGAGAACTCCATAGAAGTCTTATCAAGTAGGTGACAAAGTTTTTCTCTCAAACAAATATTTACAGACCACCCAGAAGTCGAAGAAATTGGGCCCTAAGTATGTGGGTCCTTTCCCAGTTGAACGAATTGTGAACCCTGTGACAGTTCAATTGACACTGCCAAAAACTCTTCATCGAATTCATCCAGTTTTCCATGTTAATTTGTTGAAACCCGAGCATACCTCTACATTGAGACCGACCCAGACTGATCCCACCGTACCATTGCTGATTGAGGGTGAACAACATTTCGAGATTAAAGAGATTTTAGACTCTCGGAGATGGAGAGGCTGTCTCCAATATATCGTAGCTTGGAAACATTTTCCTCCATCCTGTGCCGAGTGGGTAAATGAGAAAGATATTAGGGCTCCTGAACTGGTCAAAGACTTTTATACAAAGTATCCTGATAAACCATAGAAATGTGTGCAATTGTTAACATGTATTTTATGTTATTCTCTCTTACAGGGACAAATGTCCTTTTTCTAGGGGGTCCGAATGTCAGCCTCAAGATCCCTTCCACACCTTTTCTGCTGCTATGCTCACTGCTCTCTTTCGGCTGTCATTAGTAATGGGGGGAGGGGGGACTTGAAGGGGAAGAAAGC